TGGTTTATTAAGATTTTTATATATGATTTTAAATGTTTTTTATATATGATTTTAAATGTTTCTGAAAAGTACAGCTGTCAAGACCTATTTCTAATGATTTCTTTTCAATATTTTGCATTCTCCATATTTTGTTGCAGATCTTTTTTACTGGGTTTTCCATTGCGCTGTTAACCTCATTGACAAATTTGTAATGATAGCTCATACTTTTTTATATGTGGAAATTTTATCTTTATCCTCTTTATCAGTTTTTTATTCTTCCTTTTCCTTTTTTCCTTTCCTCCTTTTTCCTTTTTCCCTACCTCTTTCTCCTCCCCCTCCCTTTTGCCATCCCCTTCACTTTTCATTTTCCCTTCTTCCTTCTTGCTTGTTTCCTTCTTTCATATCTCTCTTCTCACTTTTTACCTTTCTCTTGGGTTTATTGTCTCCTGTCTCCTCTCATCTCAAATTTTTGTTTTTTGCTCTTGGCTCTTTACCTACTTCTCCCTCCCTTCTCTACTCCTTGTCCTTTGCATCCTTCTCCATTTGGCTCTCCTCCCTCTCCTCCCTCCCCCTCTCTTGTCTCTCTGTCTCTCTCCTCTCTCTCCCTCCCTTTCCCTCTCCTTTCCCTCCCTCTCCCTCCCTCTCCCTCCCTCCCTCCCTCCTCTCCCTCCCTCCCTCTCATTGCTCTTCCCCTTTCTGCCATCTCCATCTCCTCCCCTCCCCCCTCATTCTCATCTACACCTCCTTCATCATTCTCATCATTCAATACCAGCATTTGTAATGACAAACAATATGTGCCTGTATGTAGACTTTCTCCTCAAATATTTACTTCCTTTTTGGAAATCACTTTTTATTTATGTTTTTTTTTAATCATTTTCATGCTATGATAATCATCATTACCTTTTCCTTCTTCTTTTTTCTCTTCTTTCAACTTTCACTAAGGACCTATGAATTTAAAGCAAATGTAACCAGAACATTAACCCACTCACAATGGGAGCTCCAGTTGCATTGCTGAACTAAGTGTCAGGGTGCAAGGAGAGTCAGCTATTCAAGGGAAAAATTAGAAGCATGGAAAGCATAATTTCACCATGTCCTCTATGCTTTTGGTTTCAGCTTAAACAGTTTTTTAGGTAATGAGGCTAAAAAGAGGCAATGAGCCTATATAGGGGTGTTGTTCCTCCTGAGGGCCAAACAGCAGACAACTGTGTAGCACATGTGACATGACATGTGAGGGTGTTACCCTGGAGTGAGTGGGTTAAAGCTAGGTAAGAAGGTGAAACTGACAATAGCATCATTTAGACAAGGTGCATATTGTCGCTATGAACTACAATGCATGGTTTCCCCAGACATCTGATTCAAGAATGCCTATTTCTTTGGTATGAAAATACAGTAATACACTCACATGGCTCTACAAGTCCCATAGATGGCTCCACAAGTACTTAATCATAGAGGAATCAATTACCTGTACTACCCATCTTGCCTGTTTACCCTTTTCCTAGATTTCTGGAAATACTCTGTTTCTTATATTGATATTAGTAATGTTAATGACTTTGTAATAATTATTATGTTTACATTAAATGCAACAGCATCTATGTTGATAGAATTATTTTAAAAGGAATTTAGGTAAAATCAAATGAGGTCATGTGATTTATGAATTGACTCTTTCGTGGTTAAGCACTTGTGGAGCCATCTATGTATAGGGACATTAAAATAAAAAATTAAAGTGAATGCTGTATTTCCTAGGTGACAGTGGGCTAATAAAGTAATGCATCTGATAGAACAGCGAAATGATGTAAAAATATTTCTTTTGGGTACTTCTTTTCTGCAATTGTTGGCATGAGTTATTTATTCTTATTATAGATTATTTTAACATGTATTTGTTTTGGTTCAACAGGGTGCTGATTTGGTCACTAGCTCCCATTGTAGAGGCTAGAGTTAGACTGGATGAGTCCCAGTCGTGGCTTGTACTTTCCCATGTAGAAGGACCATTGTATGTAACTAAATGGAATGCTGAGAGATATGCAGATGGAATACATTCACTAGTGGTAAGAAGTTTGATGTTTGGCATTGATATTGTTGTAACCATAATTATTATTATTTTTTATTTACCATTATATGAGTACATGTATTGTCCACTGTTTTTTTGGGTGAATTATATTGGACACAGTGCTCAGCCACAAAGGAGTTAATTAGTAGGCCTTACATGACCTCATCAGAGTTCCTCATGCCTTGAATTTGGAATTTAAAAAAATCTAATGCTAGTGATAATGATACTGTTAATATTATTATTAACATTTGATTATTATAATAATATTTGAATGATAGTAACAAGAAAAAAATCTCTGAAAATCAAGAAAAAGCTTAACAGATGAGATAGGTAGTACTAGTAATAGATTCCTTGGTGACAGCACTTGTGGAGCCTTCTCTGTCAAAATGCATGAATAAGCTAAAATCACAGTGGACCTGCCATTCATGTTATGCCATCCTAGAGTGTATGAGAAAGTTATAACCAATTTTAGGTAATGGGGGAAGAAGACACCAACAATCCATCCAGGCTGAAACACTGGCTAAATTGCTGTGTAAGGGCTCTGGCAGATTTAGGAAATACTGGCATAGCTAGGTGAAGCTGATGGGCATCCACAGGCTAATGCTAAAAGAAGGAAAGCTAGAAAAGACAAGTATTGGAGATTCAGTAAAGTGTATCTCAGAAAATTATACACAGTACTATAGCAATTTAAGGTCAGTCTCTGTGGCTTCAGCCATCTACAGATAACTATATGAAAAACCCTGGTAGTCCCAGAAAATAAAACTGCAATAAGCTGCACAGCATAGCTGTAGCTGCCAACCATCCCACAGTTCCTGTCTTTCTTCAACACGGTGTTTGAATAGGAAGTTTCATATATTGAAATTAAGTATATCCTTTTATGTTGCCTATTGTGTGCAATTTTGTCAGTGCAATTCCTCAAGGACTGAGAATGAATATAGAGTGCTCTTTTGTTTTATAGATCTTTTGAAAAGTGACATGTTGCTCCCTAAAGTGTAAGATTATAATGAAACAGGAAGATGCTATTATATTGTTGCTTACATCTACTCTGTAATTAGAATTACAAAAATAACATCCATGCTGAACATTTGAAGACCTTATTTCTTATCATTATTTCCTAAACAGTGTACTAAAGCATATATTTAGATGATACTTTGCAATAGGTATTATAAATAATGATCTGTAAGTAATTTAGATTATATGAGAGGATGTGAATGGTGTGTGAAAATTACTACATCATATAAGGTTATGAACATCTCCTGAGCTTGACAATTGCAGGGGTTTGTAATCAGTCCCACATGAATATTAATGACAAATTGTTTAAAGTCATTTCAGACAAATTGATATATAAGTGGAGCAGTGTAAAATTAATTTATTACAATTTATTATGATTTTTAAGTATATTTTGATAAAGCACAATCTTTTTCTTTAAGCATTATGAAATGCATATCAAATTACAGTAGTTTGATATAGATAGTTTAATATGCACTTCATTTAGCAATATAACTTCATTTCAGGTACATGTTAGAGACAGAGATGGACGGGAAAGAACAGTTACCCAGCCATTTTCTCTTGACGAATCTCGACCATCATTTAGTTTTTGGCCCAGAGCTCTCTTGATGTCGAATGTCTCAATGTGTGTAAGTTTTGCTTTAAAGATATTGTTTCCTTTTAAAGCTGTTTGGAATGAAATTTAAAGAGATAAATTAATTAGCTTGGTAATAGGTTTGTTTTATTTTGTGTGTTACCTTTGCTTGCTCAATAGCATAGTTAAGGGTTTATGCTGTATATGTTAATGCTATAAGAATAAGTAGATATTAGTTCTAGCCTTACGTTTTTTACTTGTGCTAGATTTACTGTTAGGTGCATCTGATATCTTTCTAATTTACTGCTTTCAATTGATAGTCAGTTCTGTATTTTGAATTATTCTGTTAATTTACTTACAGAGCTAAAAAAAAAGAAGAGAAAAAACAAGAATGAGGTCTGTTATGAGGATATTGCAGTTTCATAATTTATTTTCTCCTATGTTTACAGTTCCAATTCCTGTTTGGTATCATGGTGTGCATATGTGTGATTCCTCTTTGTATACTTCGATACATACATCATTTAGTTCTTGGTAAGCTGATGTATATTTTAAGTTTTGTTTCAACTGAAATGTAAATAATGCATGATTTATTAATAACTTCAAGAGGGATGTATTTTAATGGCACTTTTATGTGAAATTAAATATGAAATATACGCTTTGTACATGTGTAATGTATAATGATGTGATTTTTAAGCCTTTACAGTCCTCCAAATTATGTCTTTTTCTTGTATTTCAGAACGCCGGATGGTACGACCACGTCTTAAGTGGTCTATTTGTAACACCATATTACGGAAGCTGTGGGTAATGGTGTCAGTGGACAGACTCTTTTGGCCTTTAATCCTGACAGCCATATATTTGCCACTCGGTAGGTTTTTTTTTTCTTTAATCCTTTCAAGCTTCAGCCATACTAATTCTGCTTGTTCTACATACTCCTCATACTCACCTGTTCTGTTTGGAAGGTCTTTGTTAGTAGGGATAATTTTTGGCAAACAGCTTTAAAGAAATAGATATGGTGACAAAATTCTTAGATTATTATTTTAAAAAAATTATTTGAAAAGGCTTTTCAAATAGAAGAGAAGAGCAGAATGATCATACTGTGGGACACTTAGAAGGAAAAAAAAAAATTGAATATGAATAATTGAGAATTGGATGATGTTACCTTTATTTCAGGTAAATGGAATATTAAAGAGGTTAACCCACTTACAATGGGTGTCGCACATATGAGACACCTGGAAAAACAAACATTACCCAGCGTCCCGCCAGTGTGACACTAGATTAGAGCTTGTGCTCTGATTTTATTGCCCGTGGCGCGTGGCGCGCGGGCAGATTCCTGGACGCGCTGATTGTGAAGCCGCCTGGAGAATATTATTTTTTGCTTAAAAATGTACCGTCGCTAGTGGGTTTATATTAAGAAATGTTTTAGAAGATATCTCTTCAGTTTTTAATGCTGAATACTGTTTACTGTGTACTACAAATTTCTTGTTATATCTCCTGCCTCCCTATTTTCAAATGTAATTGGATGTGTAAATAGAATGATAATATTTATCCAGAATTATAGGACTGGCTGATTTCTTGTAGATATCTTCCATAAAGAATTTACTTAGGGGATATGAAATAGATATTTTAAAAATTTTGCTGTATATATGATCCTTACCCCATTCACGACGGGTACATTTTGTAGCCAAAAATAAAATATTCCGGGTGGCTACAAAATCAGCAGGCGGAGCTTCCCCAGAGTCTTTCCACCCACCGGCCGTGGCCCGCTGCTGTGTCGGAGCGCATAATATCACAAACTTTCCCTGAGGGTGATTGAGTCATGTGGATTTTAGTCCATTTCCATTGATAAATGTATGTGGAATGTATGTAGGTCACTATTTTCATGCTTAGGATCCTATTCCTGGCTGCTTTGACTGGTGGCACAAATTGTATTACAGAATATTGAACATAGAAAAAAAGACAAATAACAAACTGTTACTTATTGTAATTATAGCTGCACAGAGTTATGGACTATTTAGAGAGATGATAAGGGTCTGGGCAAGGGAAACTGTCTATTACCATCTAGATAAAGCAAATAAAATGACAAATATAGATACTGGAAAATGGCAAAAAATCAATTTATGTAGTAAAAGAAAAAACAAAATTGGAAAACGGAAGCATGGTGTCTTGGTACTGCACATGCATGTTCATATGTGCCTGGCCTACAGGCTGCACATCCGTTAGAGTGGCCACTCACGGAAGTCTATAGTCCGTATTGTTGGTCATTTGATGGCAGTGAAGTATCCGGATCCAGTGTAAGGAATATACTTTGACAGTATGAAATGTATATTAAGAAAATCTTCCTCATGCTATGTGGCCATAATCTTTCAATTGTTGTTAGAAGAGTTATTAAGTTAATTCGATTTCTAGATCTTACAGACCTTCACAGATACATCATTTATGTACATTCTTTTGCTCTGGAAAATTGCACCTCTTGATAGATAAAGGATACTAGAAATTAAAGTTAGCAACTAATTATGATGCATGCAAGATTGTGAATTCAGCCTTAAAGTTTAAGAAATGGTTTGTAGAATATCCAAAGGTAATATTGCATTTCAACATCATTTGGAATACTTATGCCAAGAACACCATTCTATGAAAGGAGACTAGAGTTTTCTGTTTAATAGGCTGTATAGTGCTTATTGCAGGTGTGACAAGCATTACCATATAAGTCATCAAACTTAATATCCTTTAAGGGCCAATTTTCAGTACCATCTTAAGGTTCAGTAAAGGTACAAGCCTGGCATCCCTAAATGTTAACATGGGTCATAGCAAAGTATATATGTATATGCATTAGTCATGGACTGCTACCATTGTACAGTATTATTTTAGTTCTTTAAACAGAAGAGGTCTACTTTTTCACATAACATCATACATAACTGTTACTGTTGTGAAAAAAAGGTTATTTATTAATTTTCCATCTGTTAACCCATCATTGTCACAAGGGTTGAGAATTCATTCCATGTCCACTCGGTTTTTTGTTTATTGATTGTCTTTACACATGAATAGCTCTACAAATGCTTAATCACCAAGGAGTCAGTTATTAGTCCTACCCTAGCATACCTGTTTACCCTTTTCCTTGATTTTTTGGAAAGATTCTTTATTTTTTAATGATATTAGTATTGATAATAGCATTATAATAATCATAATGTTAACAACAATAGTAACAACATCATGATTAATAGTTTTAGAAGGATATATATTTTTCTGAAAAGTCCAGCGAAAGATGAAATCAGCTGAGATCACATAGGCTTCCTTATTAGCTCCTTATTAGCTTATAGGTCATAGATCAGAAAAAAAGCAAATGATAGTGAGATTGTGCATTGTTGATTTTTCCTGTTATTTCTTGTAAGATATGCAGTTTTTTTTGTTACTATTATGGTTATTGTTATTGTTTTTATTATTGTGATTATTATTATTATCATTATTGTTATTATTATTTTCATTGTTATTATTATTTTCATTGTTATTATTATTATTATTGTTAATTATATTATTTTTATTGTTATTGTTATTGTTATTGTCATTATTATTGTTATTATTATTATCATTGTTATTGTTATTAATGTTATAATTATTATTATTATTACTAGAAGTAATAGTAGTAGTAGTAGTATATTAATAATTAGAATAATGATGATGATGATGATCACAATGATAATGATAATGATAATGGTAATGTGGTGGTGATGGTGGTGGTGATGGTATTATTATTGTTATTATTATTATTATTATTATTATTATTATTATTATTATTATTATTATTATTATTATTATTATTATTATTATTATTATCATTATTATTGCTATTATTATTTTGTTTTTGTTATTATTTGTTTTATTATTTTCTTTTTATTCTAATTAACAGATTCCTTATTTTTTTTTACAGACATTCAATTGTTTTAATTGTTTTAGCCCATTTAGAGAATTTCATTTTGTAGGATGACGTGTTCATAAAGGCTTTTTTCATCATCACCTAAACAAGGGCTCAGAATATTGACCTTTTTACCAGATTTTTTTTCTTTATTTCTTTTTTTCATTATAACTGGAAAGTGAATGTATATAAATGTGCAATGTGTGTCTCAAGTTAAATTTTTCTATTATATTTTTGTTTTTGAGTAATATTCCCTACTTATCACCTAGCTCTGTATTTGGTGGTGTCTGCAAATGTGAAGGATTGTTGGTATTACCAGACACTGAATGTAGAGAAAATACAACCTGTCCTTATCTCTTTTATGCTTCCTGGATTACAGGGTATGGGTTAGATTTTCTTGCATGATGTATAATCCACAAGTACCCGTGTTGATTTCATACACATTTTTCACTTGATAACCAGCTTTGGATCCATTTATGCTTCATTATGAAGAGCCTTATGTTTTGAAAATATTTTCACAGGTTCATCATTATATTCAGGTTGATGGGACAAGTTGTAGATGTTTGTGAGTTTTGCTTATTTTTATTCATTAGATATATGGTAGAGTTATGCATTGATACGGATTTACAATGATTTATATTGATGAAGGGGTACCCTACATTAGTCAGAAGTTTTCTTCCATATATTTTGATAATTTGTAGATGTTGATTAGATGTGGATTATGCTCAGATTCAGATTTCATTTGAGTAAAAATGAGAGATCATACTTTTTTGACATCTCCCAGACAGTTTTTATAATTCATTTCAGTCAGTATGGTTATCCAACCATTAGATACTCTTGACCATTTCAACATAAGGAATACACAAAACAATGAAGGAATAGGAACAGTATATTTTGACAGTAATGAGCCTTTTTCATTTCTATGTTATAGAAAATTACATTATTACTTAGGAATTTTGTACTGCATACTTTGCAGTTTTTAGGGGAGAATGCAGACAGTGATCTGTAATGTGTAAAAGGATGTCATCTATTAATCAACTTTACTATGATATCTACCACATTTCCATGAATGAGAGAGGTAGAATATAACAGAACAAAAGCTTTATTTATTGCAGTTTAGTTTTTCATAGTTTGCATTTTTGATGTCTGATGTAAGTTGAGATATATATCTCATATGTAAAAGATGTGGAGTATTATATTACACTATGTGGAAATATGTAGAGGGAAATCCACTTGGGATTTAGAGGGAAATCTTAGCAGGACATTGGGTAATATAAAAAAATGTTAACCCAATGCTGACAGAAAAATGTTGTGTTCACTTTAGTATTGTTTTGTTAAAAGTTTCTGTACATAGATGACTCTGCCAGTGCTTAGCCACAAAGGAGTCAATTAGTAGATCTTGTGACCTCACCTTTCCTTGAAATAGTGGGAAAACATTTTTTTTTATTAATGTTATCAGTATCAACACTGTTATTTTTGTTATGAACTTTATAGTTACTATATTGTTATTGACATCACTGGCAGCAGTATCGAATACTAGAAAATATTATTGAAAATCAAGGAAAAAAATAAACAGGTGAGACAGGTAGTTCTCGTAGTTGGCTCATTGGTGACTCAGTACTTATGGAGCCATCTATATTTCAAAACAATGACTAAATTAAACACACAGTAGGCATGCCATCTCCGGTGGCAAGTGGTTAAAGGGAATTTTTTATTATCTCCATTGTATATACAGTACTTCAATATACTGATTGAGTCCTGTTGAGAATTTGCTGTGGTATGAAAGATCATGATACATTCCCTTTACCTGTTGGCAATGCTTTGTCATATCCTTGTTTTTCATTGACAAGTGATATTTTTTGTTTATGCTCTAGAGTTACCATTTCAGCTTTGCTCTATATTTAGATTTATGTTTTTTTTTTAAGTAACAAAATTCAGTACAGTTAGCATCAGTTATAATTTTGTTCAAGAAATCCAGGCTTGTAGCAATTGAGAGTGAAATCCATGAAAGTAATATCATCAACACACTTTGCTTACCTATGTAATCTACACACAGTGCCTATAACATTAGTGAGCCATCCACAACCTGTGGTAAAACAATGGAACAACAGGATATTTTAGTTTCTTCAACCACCATTATCAGTGACATTATTTGCAGAAGCACCAGCTTCACTGAAGGCTATTTTGCATGCTCTACCTCCATGATCAACAATGTTTTTTAAATTATTGACAACACCTTCAAAGTCACCCAAGCTTATTTCACTTTCATTATCAACGAATAGATTCATCTAAATTTCTTATTCAAATGTCCTTTATGGATAGCAGTAATTGATGATATATTTTTTATAATTATGTTGCTACACTACCTCTGTCTGTTAATGGATACAATGAAAAACTTACATTTTGGGAAAGAAATAGGCACACAAGTATGCCAAATCCATAAAAGATCAGATCTCTGATTGATACCATTTGTGTTTTTATTCACAGAAAATCCAAAATCACTTTGATTTGTGTGGGACTAACAGATGTATTGTTTTTTATATTAGCTGCAACCAAAAAGACATGATCATATAAAGGTTTCAGTTATGGATCTAAGGGATGTCTCCTGATGATTTGATGTGCTTTAGTTCATTTTCCCACCTAAAACTTAATCAATACTCAAAATATTGGAACACAGAAAGCACAGTGATGCAAAAGCATATAACGTATGTTGCATATTTAGTGATTTGAAAGAAGGTCAAACACATTTTTTAACGCTGCTGTACTGTATATTGTAAATGTGATCATATTACTTATTTGGTTTGCATACAGTATATATTCATGTATACATTGCAGGACCCTGGTTTGTTGGGGAAGTGATTGAAGACCATATTGGTGTGGTATTTGCATGGGGGACCTTTGTCAACAGAAGCTACCTACCTGGGTCTCTCACTTATGCCTATGGATTCTTTCAGGTAAGGAAGTATTATCTGTGACTGTTAATGAACATCATATGTGCTTAGTTGAGAAAAGGTATTTATGATTTAGTGAATTATTCAGAATGGCAAATTTTATTAAGATTAATTTCTTATTCATTTCAGATGGTGGTCTTCCAAGTACCACTCATTATGGCAGTTTCCCATTGCATTGACCTACGGTAAATTACAATATTCTGAATTTTTTGTCAGAACACCTTGGACAGGATGAGGAAAATTCTTTAATAAATATTTCCATCTTTTGACAGTTGTAGACTGTTTTAGTAGCTTATAATATTGTACTTTATAGATGTACCTCACCCTAACTTAACAGATTTTCATGCAATGGCAAAATCCTAATGAAGCAGTTCAGTGTGTTAAATCTGAATGTCCAGAATCTCAGTACATATCTAGCTTTGGAGAGAAGGATGACATTGTGTCACCATGAAGAAGTGTAGAAAATTATATTATTGGTAATGCTGTTTTTTTATTCAACTTCATTCTTATCATTTAGATATATTTTCCCCCTTTTTAACCCACTCACGCCGGGTGTCCCATATCTGAGACACCTGAAAAAAATAAACACTCCGCACGTCCCGCCAGTGTGTTGCTGTGTCGGGGTCGCGCTCTGACTCAGCAGTGGGCTGCGACCGGCGGGCGGACAGACTCCGGGGAAGCTCTGCCCACTGATTGTTGTAGCTGCCCGGATTTTTTTATTTTGGCTACAAAATGCACCCGGCGTGACTGGTTTAAACTAAAAATTACTTTCAAAAGTGGTCAGGAATATTATCCCATAACTCAATATCCCATGTCCCTGGGATATTGAGCTATGGTCCAGTAGTTTGTTCAGCAGTGAATTATATTTGTTGTCATTCATACTTATACATACAAAGTTGGATACAGAATGTGATTTATATGTCATGTTTTATACTTATATATGTATTTGATTTTTTCAGATTTCGGTCATTGTACATAAGCCCCATCTGCAGTTTCCCCCAGTACCTTTGGCGACATATTTGTTTGCTGATAATTATTACAAGTCAGGTAGGACTATTTTTAGATTTTTGTTTCAGAAGTTGCTTTAATACATTTACTCACTTTGGATGTGATTATTGAGACAAATAAAATAATAAATCCCATAGAAGTTTACTGAATTTATAAGCATTAATGTTCTTTTTTGCTTGGGAGAAACACACTTAATATATAGAGATTTTGATTAGCCATTAGATATCAGGAATTGTCTTCATTTCTTTTAAACACTTGTTGCATGCCATGCTAACTGTGTATTTCATTTAGCAATTGTTTTGAAATATAGATGGCTCCATAAGTACTAAATCACCAATGAGCCAATTATGAGAACAACCTGTCTCATCTGTTTGCCCTTTTCCTTGATTTATGATAATATATTTTAGTATTTGATAATGCTGTTAGTAATGTCAATAACAATATAGCGATTATAAAACTTATAACAAAAATAACAGTGTCAGTATTGATAGCATTAGTTCAAAATAGTGTTTTCCAGCTATTTCAAGGAAAGGTGAGGTCACAAGATCTAATTGACTCCTTTGTGGCTAAGCACTGGCAGAGGCATCTGTATACAGAAACATTTAACAAAACAAAACTAAGTTAATGCAATATTTTCCCATCAGCATGGGGTTAATTTTGTTAGCCTTTTATGTGGAAAATATTGATTATTTCTAGTCTAAATTATCAGCACTTTCATCCTTCACTGAAACCTGTAAATTCTATGCTTTGGTTTTATCCTGTACTGAAACCTATAAATTCTAAGGTTTGGTTTAAGAAGTAATATGATGTTGAGATTTGTCTTGCTCTTGTTATATTATTTTTGTAGTGTGTTTCCTAGATCACTGAGGCAGTAATTATTAGTTGATTGTTGTTTGACTTGTTAAATCATAATGAAAACTAAATATATAGTTATTGAAATATATGACTGGGATAGGAAGAAAACAAAAAAACACATTTCCAGAATTTTGTTGAAAATCCATTTAATTGTACCCTTTTTCACTTGAGTCTGTAAGAGATTCTGATGATCATTTGAATTTGTAGGCTTATTTTCAGTAAAAAATAGCTCTTCTAGATACTATCTATTTTTACTTGTATCTTTATTGTCTTCTTAATTAGAGTCATAGAACTTGTAGGTATTTCACTGGAAATTAAATGCCTGATTGGTATTGCTTTACTTTTTCAGATGATCTCAGCTTACTTCTTTTGGTTGGCGTATGGCACGATGGCACTCCTCCTGGGCCCTTTGCGCACATGGTCGGCAATTGTTGGACTAGTTTTATGGTACCAGGCAGCCACTGCTCATAAGAACCTTCTTAGGTGAATTGATAAGAAATGTTATTTTACTGTTATTGTTTAGATTTGATGTGTGTTAACCTTGAAATGATTTCTCAAAGATTCATCAGGCAGAATGTTAAATGTGAGATTCCATGCTCTTTGATTTTGGTTATGTCTGCTTGTACAGATGATGGTGGATAGATGCTAACGTATGCTGATTTATACCGTGTGTACTTCATTTTGATTTATTTACAATATGGCATCTTGATGGTGGTAATATTGAATCCAAACTGAGCTGCAGTAGAGGCAATACACACATTGTTTTTAAATTGCCATGGTTGTTTTGATTGTTTTGGTGAATATATACAGGTATCCATACATTTTGATCTATTAGGTAAGTCGGTGAATCACATTTTTTATTGTTGTTTTCAGAGGAGCAGCTCAAATATGGATCCCAAGACAGCAGAGCTTGGAAGCAGAGGAGAATGACTTCACAAAAAATGCTGGAAGTGTTGATGATGTTACACAGAGCTCTCTTTGACTTCAGCATTTATTATTATTCTATAGATTGAATTCTTTAGAAAATCATTATCACATGTAAATTATCCAGTCTTTATTATAGTTTTCTTATACATGGAAGTCCCTGATACTAAGCAACTTATGAGTGTAAAACTTACACTGAAATTCTATGATAGGAAGATTATGATATATTTGATCTAACCATAGCATAAAGCCAAAGTGCTTTCTGTAGAATTTGGTTGTCTGTCAAAGGCAAAGATATGACAAAGGCTAGTTAGTCAGTCATTTTTTAAAGTTTATTTTTATGTATTTATTTATATATTTGATTTATAATTTATTTATTTGTGTGTTTGTTCACATTTTTGGCAATTGCTTCCAGTGGTTGCATCCTCTGTAAGCTCTGTATTTTCAGATACTTTTGTGCCCTTTTTTCTCTGTTGTCTCTTCTTCCCTCTCGTTCATTTTCACCCAGTCCATGTTTTCCTCTCATGGCTTTTTCTTTTTATTATTTCTTAATCTATTTTATTATTTTTAATAATCAGATTTGGCAGTAATTTAATACATGCCAAATTGATTATGGAAGAGCCTTTAAATTCTCAAAAATATATTGATTACTGCTTATATCCCTTTCGTATCCTCTATTTTTTCATAATTGACATGCTATGCATGAATACTAATCTAGTTTTGAGGGTTGTAATTTGAAAGTAATTGTGATTATTAAATCAACATTCCAAAAGATAATATGTTAGAGGAGAGATAATTGTGTTTAGGATAAGTAAGAGCTATGGTACAACCATGTACTGAAAATTGATCCAAGCAGTTGAGAATATATATAGCACAAAAGCTCAGTTGTACTAGACAAGGGGTTAAATATTGCTTGTAAAGAGTTCAATAAGATCTTTGAATTAGTAATACAGTAACCCCACCAAATTATAAATATGACCTTTGAATAAGGGATTAAACTATAATGAAGTATCCATGATAATAAACATCAAACTTGACTCTTCCCTTTATCCTGTGTGCCAAAAAGTAAGCACAGACTTCTTGCCATGTGCATGTATTTTTTTCATACAAATTGACTGAAAATACTGTATACCTGAGAAAAGTTGTATATGCCATAAAGATATATTCAGTAGTAAAGTGAGCTCATTGGAAAGGAAATATCTTTGATGTGATCAAAAATAATTTTCAGAATTATTTTGGTAAGCTTTTAAAGAATTATGTTTATAAAAGATGGCCTGAAACTCCCATTATAATGGTATGTATATATATGTTTAAAGTGATATCAAAATATGTTTAGAGATACTATGAGTGTTGTGTGTGAAAGTTGTTAAATTTTATGAGCCATTTTCAACATTTTCTTTAGTATCACACAAGTGTATGTTTACCATGTTTGATAATGAAAGGACATTGTGTCTGTTAAGTGTCTAAGTAGAAAAAGACTGTACACTAATTCTGAAATGAAGCATTTGTATGAAGCAAATAAGTAAACTGAGGTTCCAGACATGCATGGTGTCAATTTGTAATGAAATAGTGGTGTTGGCATTAGGTTATGCATTTATGAAAAAAAAAGTTTTTAATACTATATCAAATCAGTGTTAAGAAGGAAACAGATTTTGGTTAAAAAAAAGATGCCAAGTAATATATACTGACACTCCTTGGCATATAGAACATAAAAACAAAATATAATTATGTTTTCAGGTTTTACCAGTAAACACATTCTGCATATACTCTCATATTGGATAATATATATAATAATATATAACTATGAGACTGTCCAGTGTTTTAAAGTTATAGACTTATATCGAGTCTGAATTATGTATCTGGCATCTGGTTAGATAACACATTGCATTTGATTCTTGGTGCTGCTCTCTGTTCATGCTACCCAGATTTCATACAAAATAGAAACAAAGTTGGTGTGACATTTTTATCTAAAAAGTAATTTAAGTCTAATTTCTTTCTTTGTGAATACATACATGCACACGCACACATGCACACAGACAGACACACACACACACACACACACACACACACACACACACACACACACACACACACACACACACACACACACACACACACACACACACACACACACACACACACACACACACACACACACACACACACACACACACACATATATATATGCACTCATACACACGTATTCACACATACACACGTATGCACGCATACACACGTATTCACACACACATGTGTGCACACACATACGTACACGCATGCACGCACATACGCTTACACGCTTACACACCTGCACACTTGCACACGCTTACATGCTTACATGCTTACATACTTACATGCGTACATGCTTACATGCTTACACGCTTACACACTTACACGCTTACACGCTTACATGCATACACGCTTACATCGGCGTGCATGCGCACCCCCCTTCCCCCACACACACACACACACGTTTATATATATGTATGTATATGTATGAAGTGGGGCATCTGCTATGCCAACTCAAAAATGCTGTCCCCATGAAAGTTAGTCTTATGGGAAGAGCAAACTGTCTTAGTATCCATCCTAGTAATATGTTACTGTTTGGAATGAACCTACCTCCTTTATTACAATCCTAAATAAAACTGTTGTAATGCAGCACTGTTCATAATATGATAAATTTGATGCTTGACTAATTATTTAATGTTTTTTCTCCATGGTATTATGATTTAAAAATTTCAGAATCATATACAAATTCAAATATAATTGTAAAAATGTGTAATGGAGATACTTATATTAACTTACTGTTAATTAACTGACTGTGTAACACTTTCATAGACATATTCTTTGTTAGTATTTTGTGTGATACATTTACAGTAAAAGTCTGTAAAGGTCTTTTAAATTATGGAAAAAAATAAGTTACACCATTATTTTGTAGTTTTACATTTAGTTACCAGATTTTTTTATTTAATTTATTGATAATTGTCTATGCAAGTGAATTAGGAATAATATACTAGGCATCTATTCAAGTGATACATATTTTCCTTGTATAGGAGAGAATGTTTTTATGTCATGTATGTGACATATAGCAGAAAGGTGTATCATTATATATACAAGTGATCCCCATTATTTGTTGCCAATTATTCATCATTTCACTCTTTCGTTACTGATGTTTTTGGATGTATTGTTAATTGTGTTTCACTCTTTCATCATTCAGGTTTCGAAAGTTCACATTTATGTCCACAAAAAAAAAAGAAAAAAAAATATAAGAAATAAGATAAAACAGACTGATGCTTTGCAGTTGATATTGGATTATTTTTTTGTGTAATTAAAAAGATATATTAGAATATTCTAGAAAATTTTCAGCCAATCTGACAACATTCAGCAGACTCTTAGGAAAATAAGCAAAAATAGATATGCTATTAGTAATTTACTAATTTAGTAATTTATAGATAATGGGTCTACCAGAAAGGTGTGCACATACATGCATTACTCACATAAGTATTTTTTAGCCAAAAGAAGTCAGAAATATGGTATCACTTAACCCAGTCACACCGGGTACATTTTGTAGCCAAAATTAAAAAAATCCGGGCGGCTACAAAATCGGCGGGCGGAGCTTCCCCAGAGTCTGTCCGCCCCGCCGCCGGCGCCGCTTCTGCCTCGGAGCGTAGCCCCGACATTGTTTATTTTTCCCGGTGTCTCATATATGTGACACCCGGGACGAATGGGTTAACATTCTGGGGTATCATAGACTAGCCCCCCTAACTTCAGTTAGGGGGGCAATCTCCAAGCTGGAGAGTGGTAAAGCAGCAGGTATATGCGACATCCCAGCTGTGGTGAACCTATGGCGTGTGGGTTGCATGCTGTCCTGCCTGCCATCTGGCGGTCTGGTACTGTTCCCCTTGACCTGTTGAGGGGTGTGGTCATCCCTCTTGTGAAGAGGAAGGGGGACCGATGGGACTGCAACAATCACCGAGGCATCCTACTGCTCAGTATACCAGCCAAGGATCTTGCCCACATCCTACTGAGACATATCAGAGACCACCTACTGAGGCATCAGAGGCCAGAGCAATCTGGATTCACTCCTGTTAAGTCCACAATTGACTGTATCCTTGTGATTTGAGTCAATTGCAGCCTACATCAGCCTCAAGAAAGTTTTTGATATGGTGCATTTGGGAATCACTCTGGGAGATCCTGAGACTGAGAGTAATTCCAACAAAGATTGTTGGACTAATTGCAAGTCT